GAATTCTGGGAGTTGAAGTCCACTCATCTTAAAGTGGCCAAGTTTGGACAACACTGTCCTAGAGAATCAAATGTTGTAGCGTTAGCTGATTGGTGACATTTTAGAATGCAGAAGAGGGACCTGCCAGTTAGAATGGTTCCTTCTTTCCCCTGTTAACAAAAAAGTAAATAAATAAATCCTAATGCACATAACAGAAAAGTTGGTATATTTGGAAATAAAGTAGTTTCAGAAGCTGGAAGACATTTTTCTAACTGTTGGTGGTCCAGTTATTTTGAGATACATCTTTTGAAAAAGAAGGTAGCATGCTTTTCCTGTCTTACCAATAAGCATAACAAAAGTCCTACTGGATCAGACTCCAGGGTTCATGCTGAGCCTGGAGAAACTACACCCAGCCTTATGGCACTGAGAAGAAGCTTCATATCACTGTTGAAACTGGATCTCCATTGCTTCTGCTGGTTCCAACATATTCATAAATTCCACCGCTGTGTTACAGCTTTTCTCTCTTGAATTCAGTCAGGGCTAAGGTCCTGAATTGGCTTAGGCAGACAAAAGTTTAAAACTGTATTTTGTAGAAATACGCTACTGGATGATTGCAGGAACAGATTCTCTGCCAGATATGGAACTTGTCCTAAGTCTCATTGTGTCATGGTATGGGGGAATGACCTTGGGAGATGGGGGGAAGAGATGCCGCCTAAGGACGGGCAGAGAAAGAAACTCAGAAAGGAACCTCCCCAGCTTATCAGGCTGTAAAAGAGATGGCAAGAGGTTTGTATTTTCAGTCTTGCAAGACTATGTTAAGGTAGCCTTACAATAAAATAGAGTTAGCTCATCTGGTTGTGTTTCCTGTCTACCTCGGAAGGCTGACATCAGTCTTGCAAGTCTGAAAGTACTCCCAAGGTCATTCCTGCATACCATTACAGATTGACTATTTTCTTCTAGAAAAGGTAGGGTAAGATATACTAGTATAAATAAATAATAAAAAAACACTGTACTGCCCTGCTATATTTATTACTGCATCTTCACTGCAAACTAAATGGGTTTCTTCATTGCCGGTCAGATAAAATGTTGCTTTATTTTCCCTCCCCCCCCCCCTTAAAATGGCAGTTTAAAGAATGATCACCCAGTTAAGTGCGGAGAATTTGATGGCCTGGTGGAACTTGCAACCATCTGCGCCCTTTGCAATGATTCCTCGCTGGATTACAATGAGGTGAGGTTTTTGTTATTAGTGTTATATATAAAATCAGTCATATCAGGAACAAAATCATAGAGTAGTTCAGGCTACAGTTCCTAAAAGAGCTTTCCCCAGTTGGAACTGCCAAGTCCGCCTGAAGTTGCAGGGACTTGTTGAAGAAGGATCTGCATTTAAAACTAATTTGCCGCTCCTTTTGATGTGCTAAAATGAGCATGTTACAGGTGTCAGTACCTTAATTTTCAAAAAAAGAAAAGCATGCAAAAAGGTATATCCTGTTATATTGTAAAACCTCAAAATATTTTAAAAAGTTCCTTTAAAAAGAATTTGCCAGTAAAGGTTACAGTCTATTTTGATGTAAGTTTTAAAACATGGATAGTGGACTTCTTTACTAATCTAGTCCAAAGGAAGCCCCCTAAATTTTACAGCATGTAGATGAATTGGATCCTGGCTACAACCTTGTACTCATTCACGTGGAAATAAGTCACAAGTTAGCGGGGTTTCAAAACTTGATTTCCAGTCAAAGAACTGAAATGATTTTGGCTTTGGAAAAATGTTTGACAATATTCATACAGTAAGGATGACTCTGGACACAATATCAGAAGCCTTTGGCGAATGGTCACTCCACCAGAGGTATCCATTGCAAAGGTAGGCGGGAGCAGGGAGCGTCAGATGGCGAAAGCAGCATCGTGCCACCCCAACACAAGCTCCGCCCCTTTTGTGCCTGCTTTATGATGTCACAGACAAGGGGAGTTGCTTATGGTGTAGAGCTGTTTTCATCACTTTGATGAAAGCCTTTGATCCCACTGATGCCTCCGAGTCCATCAGTGTTTGTCCTGAGCCCAGCAGAATGACAGAAATAGGGAAAAAAGAATATATATATCTCACCACTGTTTTTATATCTGGTCCTGTGCAGAGCTGATGTGTCAGCTCACAAGAGAGGATTTCTAGGAATGTAGTCCTTGATTTTTTTTTTTTAAAAAAGACTGTAGTGTCTGTTCCACTATCTCATGTATAAAATTAACATATCCTTTTATAAATTACTATTTTCTACCAACATGTTAAGTAGATATATTGAATCAGATTCTTGATTTCACTGTTTCTGTTTTTGCTTTTAATGCTGAGATTCAAACGTACTTCCTCACCAAACCGACATAATCAGTTCTGACAAACCAGGCTGCAATGCTTATCATGGGGTATCTTGGTTTTGTTTTAACTGCACTTTCCCTTTCTGTTCCTAGTCCAAAAAAGTCTATGAAAAAGTGGGCGAAGCGACAGAAACAGCCCTGATCTGCCTTGTAGAGAAGATGAATGTTTTCAATACGGATACCAGCCGTATCTCCAAAGTAGAAAGAGCCAGTGCTTGCAATACTGTGAGTAAAGGGTTAATTTCTCCAGGATAGAGACAGAAGAAATTTTCGCACAGTATTTATGTTCTTTAAATGGGGATTGAGTTTGCAGATCACATTTAACCATGGTTTGCCCACTAAAATCCTGTTCCTAGCCATAAACCGTTGCTGCAGTTCTCTGCAGGGGAGAAAGCTTCTACAGCTGAAACTCTGTAGAAGTTGGGTGATGCAACAGGACAATGATCCAAAACACCGGAGCAAGTCCACAACAGAATGGCTTCAGAAAAACAAAATCCACCTTTTGGAGTGGCCATGTCAGAGCCCAGACCTCAACCCAATAGAGATGCTATGGAATGACTTGAAGAGAGCCATTCACATGAGACGTCCAAAGAATATGACAGAGCTAAAGCAGTTCTGCCAGGAAGAATGGGCTAAAATCCCTCCTTAACGATGTGCAGCTCTGATCCACAGCTACAGGAAGCGCCTGGTTGAGGTTATTGCTGCCATGGAGGGGGTCAACCAGTTATTGATTCCAAGGGTTCACTTACTTTTTCCACTAGCATTTTG